AATTGCAAGCACATCAGGTTCTGGAACTTGGGGCACTGTCCAAGCTAATGAAGATGGTGAAATCTGACTTTGCTGAAGAAGCCACAAAAGCGTTGTATGCTGTTTCGGCCTTGATCAGAAACAATGTAGCTGGCCAAGAGTTGTTCTATGAGGAAGCTGGGCATTTACTCCTTCAGGTAACTAATTAAAATGAATAAAGCAAAGCATTTTAATGAGTGGTCTATTTTTCTAAACCGGTCATTTCTGCTTGTAGAACATTATGAGTGAATCAATCATTGATATCAGACTTCGTAGAAAAGCTGTGTTCCTTCTGGGTGATCTTGCTGAGTGTCAATTGGAAAATAAGGAGAAGGATGAGCTACCCTTTTTCAGTAGTCGCATTTTCTTGAAGTCTGTGGTTGATCTAACATCATCCGCTGACCTTGATCTGCAAGAGAAGGTCTTTTCTTAAGCATTAGTGTAATTGCATTTTGTTGTTGTTGCTGAATTTCAGTTATCATCTTTATGACATGCCTGAGTCATTCTAGTTATATTTTGATGTGCTTACTGCTCTTGCTTTGCTGATTGGTTAGACTAGAACGTAGGTGATTCTGTAATGCCAGTAATGATAATCAGTTTTTCTTCATTTGCAAATAAGCAGGCGCTTGTTGCACTTAAGAATCTTCTGCAACTCAAGACAACGGAAGCTCTGGTTTTTAAGGACTTTTGTGGGTTGGATGGTGCATTGGAGAGATTGAGGCAGCAGCTGCAGGATTTAATGGTAGAGGAAGAGCACAGGGATTATGTGATGGATGTGGAAAGACTCCGGAGTGAAGTGCATCAGATTTTTTATAGAAAGCTGGAAAAGGTGGCTACTGGACTAAGTGATTTGGATTGTAATATGTTTACTAATTGTCTATTTGATTGGTCTTATCTGAACAAGCATCCTGTAATTTTGTTTGACTTAGACTCTTCTGAACGACAGGTAACACGGCAGGTTCCCACATGATGGGAATGCGATCCTTCACCAACATTACTTAACTTGGAGACGTCTGGTACTCGTGTTTATGCGATGCTTTTGATCACGGATCTGTATATATCGAACATTTTGATGTACTCTTTCCCTTGAAGAAATTTAAGGGCTAGGTTTTGGTTGTAACTCGTGTTCATAGATTGACAGAAGAAACTTCATGGGCAGAAATGTTACATGTTAAACTTGATCTTTTTGGAAAATGAATTGATACTGATACATTCATATCCTTCCAGATTCATTCCGATTTCGCACATGTGCATTGCTTATATACGTTCAGTCATTTCCTTAAAGATAGACGGCAAACTTCCGCTTTGCCATCAGCAGTGTGCTTTCGCCTCGACCTGATCGGTTTTGATGTGATTTCATTTTTCATTTTTTACACATCCACATTTAGTCTTCTGTTGTATTTTCTTCTATTTTGGGGGAGTTCTTGATAAACTGTTAAATAGAGGCGAAATATGGGTTTGGAGATTGGATAAAAAACAATGTTTTTCTATAAATTGTACCAAGTATGTATTGATGAGGTAAGAAGGAAGATTCAGTTCCTCTTTGTTGTAGGCTGCTGCTCAAAAGTCTGCTTGACTTGATCAACTGATGAAGGATCTTCACTCTCATTAGTCGACTGACTTTTGGTGTCCATTTAAAAAGCGCTGTCGACCTCACGTTTGTCGTGCAATGAAAAAAGCATCTTGACTTGGGCAGCTGAGCCTGCGCATTCGTGAACAAGTTTCTAACGGATTACCATTAAAATTAGTCCAGCGCAGAACAAAGAGAGAATATTCTTGCATCTTCAAATAAGAGGCCGTCTTTATAGTACCATTCAAATCTACTTTTCGCAAAATTTAAGCTAATTTGAGTATTTGGTAAAAATAATAAAAAGATTTAGTCCTGTCATCCAGAATCGAAAATGATATCTTCTGTAGAGACTTGAAAAACAAAAGTAGCAATTTGATGCTTGGTCCTCTTTCTAGGAGAGTAGTTGAACCTCGTCCAATCAACAATTTTTTATTTTCGCAAAAACATATTTTTATTTTGAAAATAAATGTCCAACTAAATTGCTGCTTATTTAGTTCGGGGTAGGTATAGAACACTTGATATTTTAAGGTACCACAAATATTATTTGCTGGGACAAAACAATGATGATTTATAAATACAATTGGGGCCCAATCAAACCAACCAAACCAAATCCGGGTTGAAGAAATTTATTATTATTATTTTTATTATAATGGCTGTTTGTACCATATCTGACCCTCCACTCGTACAACGACACGTGGATCTTATAAACTCGCCCAAGTACCCAAGGCCTCGGACAATCGGCATCGGCCACCGATGGCATTGTCTCAAAGCTGCGAACAGCCATTACGAGCCCAACTCGTCTACAATCGGCATCCCTTACCGATTGTAGAGAATCAACCTCGAAGTATTCGCCCAAAATATCTAAAGACTCGTGTCAACCTCAGAAGGCCCTCCCACGAGTCCCACATCGAAAATGAGCACCAAGAGCATACAAAATGCCCTCTATAAATTGGCCCCTCCACTACAATACAGGGGTAAGACTTTTCAGCTTGATTTTTATACTTCTATATGGTCAACAGCAAGAGCT